CAGGGGTGGAGCAACTGTTTGGGTTGACATCTATAGAACCGACTATTATAAAGTCAATTCAGCACACTAGCTTATAATAGGATCTCTAAGTTCTGATTGGTGTTCAAAAAACAATACTAAAAAAAATCTCTGGATTAAATAACGAGTAATTACATTCCGTACACGAAATGATCTGTATGTAAAGATTTTATTCCATTATTCTCGAGATAGGTTCATTACCATAGTTTCGTTTCAATTAAATCTATCAAGAGAAGAATCTCATGAAAAAAATAGACGATTTCTTTGCTCACGTGCTACAGCAAGATCTGAAAAACTAATTTCCTCGACTCGCTTCCTTCTAAGACAATTTAAGCTGCCTAAATATAATATCATTAAACTTTGTTCTAATTCAGAACTATTTAATAAAGTCTTGCACGTATTACTAAAGTCAAGATGAAATACTGCATTTTTAACTATTTGTAATTAAATACTACTGTTGTAATTTAAAGTAATCACCCGGCTAAATGATTAACACAATCTATTATAAATATATCTTTAGACTATCATATGGATATCAAATACAGACTTATAAAAAATTATTGTTTATTTGTTGAATTTTGGTAGATAATAGAGATTGGTACTCGAAAATATTTGGTTATTTTGAGCTTGACGTGAATTTTGATCCTTATACAGTTATATTTAAAGTTATATAATTGTAGATTGATAATATAAATCATTATTTATGCAGACTGCATTTTATTGAATGTATATTTTCCTCTTCGTTGATGATATCTGATTTTGTAATTAAATCTTATATTTTTAACTTTCCGAAGGAGAAGTTTGTTTTCATCAAAAAATTCGATTCGCTAATTTTATGTCTTCTCGACGTTTCAAGCCATTCTGAATCGAATGAGGCCAAATTTGAAAAAAGTAAGTGTGGCTGGGTGTGTGTATATGTGTGAAAAGATTTTTTGCCGTAAATCGTCGTTTTCTCAAAACCGGCTAGACCGATTTCAAAAATTTAAAAGCCATTCGATGAATCCCGATGAGGAATAATGTTTGTCAGTTTTGTGCAACAATCGGCCAAGCCGTTTCTTTATAAATCGTAGAAAAATAAAAAAAAAATTGTCCACGTTTTAGCCCGCAATTCTGAATCGATTTTGAAAATTCAAAAACCGTTCGAAAGATATTGGTTGGGAATCGTGCTGATTAGTTTATGGTAGAGATCGGCCAGGCCATTTTCTTGTAATAAAGTGTTAAAAGAAATTTTTTGGACGATTTTTATGATTTTTGTTTATGATAGATACCATAGTCTTATAGATCGATCATACTAAAGTATTAAAAAACGCCTGTACCGATTTCAGAAATTTAAAAGCCATTTGAAGTATCTCAATGTGGACTATCGTTTGTCAGTTTTGTGTGACAATCTGCCAAGCCGTTTTTTGTAATTTGGAAAAAAGTGTTGAACTTTTCGTACACATTTAAGCTCATACTACCGAATCAATTTTAAAAAATCAAAAACTGTTCGAAAGATATTAGTTGGGAATGATACTGATTAGTTTTAGGTAAAAATCTACCGAGCCGTTTTCTTGTAATTAACTGTTGAAAAACAAATTTAGGCTGATTTTTATGGAACTTTTTTTGGCGATATATATCATGGTCTTATAGAACTTACTAAAATATTACGGCCTTACGACAAGTAGTTTAATTTTAAAAATTAATCAAATTTTGAGAAAATGAGTTGTTTTTTGACGTTTGTTAAAATTAAAATTAGACAATTTACTTGGTATAACGATAGAGTGCTTGGTCTTAATGAACATACTAAATCATTAAAGTCCTACAAAAACTGGTTCAATTATAAAAATTATTGATTTTTTAAAATTTGCCTTTAGAAAATACTCCGAGTTAACGTATTCACTCGTGTTCAATTATGTGTAATAAATCCACTCGGAATACTTTTAATCACTCAAATTATTTTTTATTGATTAAGTCGATTATTTACATATATCGGAAAGTTCATGTAACTTGCCTCAAGGCAAAATACCAATACCAACTAGTTTTCCTCTTCGTTGATGATATCTGATTTTGTAATTAAATTTTATATTGTTTTCACTTTGATCTCTATTAGTTAATGGAATCCTTTGTGTACAAACAATACTTAATTGCTATATTTTACAATTATTAAACCTTCAAAGTTGTAGAAAACTTATGATATTGACTTCACTCGGATACAGAGTAAAACGACTACTTAAATCTTACATTATTGAACGCTGTTAATCAATTTAAAGTTTAAATTGAACAGTTTTTCCTTACATCTCAAATCGTAATATAATTAAATGTATTTATTCATTCGTTTTCTTTATATACACAGGTATCCTTTGCAACTCAATTTAAAAAGGGAATTTGGATTAAACTCACGAAAGCGTAAAAGTGGCAAAGTGGGATTTTGTAAAGTTCCTCAGTTTTCTCTGAATAACTTCCATTTGAAATGCATATTAGTAAGCCTGGATAATATAGATGAACTTTTATATTAGTGAACGTATTTTTACCATAAATATCTCAAGTTTCTGTGAAAAGTTGCGTAAATGCGATGCTGTATCACACCGATTTTATCGTAACGCAACTCGACACGACATCAAAAACTTTATCTCTCGGCTGGATTGGAGCGGACGGGAATTATAAGTTAAATTAAACAGAAACTTTTTTCAAATCTCAATAAAATAAATCGCATTTCAGACTGCTTTAATTAGATTGATACAGTCCATTTAACAATATATCTTGATAAAAAATTAGGGACTGTAATCCGAAGCCAATCGCTTGTTCATTTTCGAAACATGGTGAAACATTTTTCTATAAAGTCACTTTTAAAGTTATTCGTTTGTATTTAGCATTGCTTGATATATATTTCTTTGGATTAATTGAATTTTTAATACTGATTCATAATATTGAGTCAGAGATAATAATGACAGCCAATATCATTATAAAAAGTTTAGGAGGTTTGAGTGAAAACCACTCTCACGAATTTATTAGGTGTATATTTGGACAAGAAAGATACATAATATGAAAGTCAATTGTAAGATGGCATCGTGCCTTAAGGCAAATTGCTGGCACCCTAAAGAAATGTTCGAGGAATATTAAATGTTTTCAAATAGATTATCTTATATATAAAAATGGAGCTCTCGATAAAATAATCCGCTAAAACTCGAAAACGGCTAAACCGATTTGGCCAGTCGGCCAGTCTTAGTCTTGAAGAATTCGTGCTAGTTAGTAGGTTCTAGGAAAGGTGAGATATTATTTCAAAATCGCGTAGAAACTTTACATTTTTAATTTGTTAATTTTAGTAGAAGCGTAATTTAAATAAAACAATAGACGGTGGGCTAATACCTCAAATGTCAAACATTTTTGACAGATGATGTTCAATTACGTTTAATAGGATGTTTTACGTAAATATTATTTAATTATGATTAAATTGTACTAAGTAGTTTTGTTCGTAGTTATATTTATACACAAAAACGTTATTAAACGGATCGCAAGTGTTACTAGAAACTCAAAATATCAACTTTTTTGAAATGTTAATATGAAAATGCACTTTTGGGCGTTGTAGCACTCTTTTTGCAAATCATATTTTTCTCAAACACGGTGCTCTGAAAGATCTCATTTGTACAATTATATACTCATTGGTATTTATAAAACATTTTCTAGGTTATATTATTTTTTATTTATGTTATTTAAATTCAGAATCTAAATTTGGTATCGATTAAATGGACATTTTGTCGAATAACATTTTTCCATTTATAATTTCCCAGAATTTATCGCAGACTAGATAGTAACATATGAAGGTCCGGGATTAAAAAGGTCCACCACCGATGTGCCAAAAATCAGTAAAGTTAAGCATTGTTTAACAACAATATTTGAAAGTAAAGGGAAAAAGATGTATAACCAGTTATAACCTTGATTCTCATGACCATGCTCTTGGGAGATAAACGTTAATCCTTGAAAATCCATAATAAAAGTATTTTCTTCCGTTGGTAATTTTTTAGCATTAGTTAAAAATGTAATTATTCTGTAAAATACCTTTAAAATTAAAATAAGACATTAAACCTGTTTGCCACTTGGCCGTTTTAAGTTAAGTTAGTTATAGGGTAAAAAGGTCTAAATAACAAATTTTTGACAGCAAAAGAGCACATTTCTACAATGTTGAAGCAGCTGGCAGAATTTTACTAATTGTAGATAATTGTTTGTTCGAAATGTGTTATTTGTTATGATATAATTGTTTTGGTTTTCACAATATAGTTTATATTTGCTCAAAGTCAAATTGGACCTTTGTGCGTCGCCCTGCTTTACATATATACTTTTTTATTAAATTTACTTTAATTCATCGAATGTTACTTGAAACTTTTTAAAAAGCAGGTCAAAGAAGAAATACTTAATTTATTTTCTATCTCTCCTCGCAGAAATATGAAAATTTTGTATAAGCTCATACACAAAATCCGGAATCCAAAAATAATCTGAAGAACTTGAAATGTAATCAATAAGTCGAAAGACCAAAAAAGACTTGGATTGGATTATACCATGTTTTCCATAGAAAGTGTATAAAACTTCCAGTTTGATTGTGTTGACAAAATATAGACAAACTAATGGGGTTTATAATACCTTATTGTATGTAGCATTCAAACAACGCATCCTTATACGCTAAAAGTATTAATATTTTTGATTCTCTAGAAATTGTTTAGAATATACCTTACTTAGCAAAACAGCGTTTGCCGGGTCAGCTAGTATATATATATATATATATATATATATATATATCCCAGTAAACACCGTGTGATGTGAGCGTCGACAGTAACCTGAAATCCACAAGCATTCCTTCAGCGCTGTGACATCCATGTATAATCAATGTGGACTTCAGATTGCTACCGCCGCCCGGTTTTTACTGGGATATATATATATATATATATATATATATATATATATATATATATCGATACATGCAACAAATGGAAACAATGCAATTTACTCACCACGTCGATCAGCTGCGACAACTTGAGCTTAATACAGACCCTGAGCACGTCCGAGGTGTTGACCACGGGCCTGACTAACTTGTTGTAATTGCTGAGGAGATCGTCGTAGAGTCGCTTCGCGTCCGGATTGCCGGCGACAGCTCCGTGCACCACCAGGGCGGACAGAAGCCACGCGCGGAGCGTCTCCCCGGCGCTCGGCGGCATCGTTCATCAACACTTGGATATACTTTTTCACACAAACACTTTTTATTTATTTATTTATTTATTGTTTCTATTATCGTTGAGTACGCCTGAAACATCACATTGTTTTTACTTTTTTACTCGAGCCAACTTCTCTCGTAAATTCTTTTCAACTTCAAATATTGCGAAAGTTTTCCGAGCAGAATTACCGCGATACTCGATATCTGGATTTGGCATGTGTTGGGCGGAAACGGCACGTGCAATGGCAGCTTAATTATTAAAGTAGTTTTGGAAACTTTAGAGATTTATTCGGATTAGTAAAAAAAGTTTGTTGTCGAAAATTAAGACCGTACTAATATAACATTGGAACAGAAACCGAAACTCGCGCACGTTATTTTGTTTATCATGACAACACTGCGATGCCGAAACGTGGATCAAGTACACAGCTGTTCATCTTTGATGCTGAAATGGAAAAATATTTAATTTAATAAAATAACATTGTTAAACAAAAAATGAGCATGCAAATATTAAGGTTGTAAAAGAAGTAAGTGCGGTTTTCAGCTAGATAGTTTCAATTGAATTTTTAGGTTGTGAAATATCTGTTGTTAACGGATAGAAGGTAGATCAGATATAAAGAGGTTTTTGATTCATGGCTAAATTTCGTCATATATTTTTTTTAATTTCCGCAAAGCTAAAGAGGCATCATGAACTTACGAAAAAATGACAGTATTAACCCTTATGGGACGGCACCGATTTCAAAACTATCTACTGTGCCGGCTGTAAACTTGTTTCATTGTGTATGTTATGTAATTTGTTTGATGAAAATTTGTGGTCGTTGAAGGACATACATTTATAATATTAATTTATTTTTGATCATTTTATAAAGAATGGTGACATTCAAAACAATTTCAAAAATGCATAGCTGGTTGATTTTGACGTCTTTTACAATAAAATGTTGTTCGCTGCCTTCCTCCTGGTGCTTTTCTGTCAGAACAGACAATGCAATCCCTTTTTCTTTCTCTCGTATTTAGAATATGCCACTGTTTAGTCAGTATATTTGTTCATTTTTTTGTTGCCATAATGGTTTGTCTTTTCTATTATATTGTCTATAAATTATTATAGATTTGTAAAATATAATGTAAAATAATTTATTAGATGCCTTATATTTCTTGGTATTTAAAGTCGGGGTGTTTGTTGATGTATGTCAAACTCGATTATTGAAGGAGAATCGGCACATTCACTTATGTCTTTCCACCCTTCATTTAATTTGTGGAACTTCTTTTTATTGGTTGGATAATACCATCATCACATTGGTCACTATCTTCGGTGCAAATAGTAATTTCGTTAAATTTGTCCGTATGAATGTCTATTTGAAACTCATCTTCACTACTGCTTAATTCACAAACCTTTATCACAAACATTTACCAGTCGCTTTGCCATATTTAAAAGCGCTAGGTCGTTTTAAATATTAAAAAGAGACTATATTGCAAAGAGAAAGACTAAAAATACTACTAAAATAACTTAAAATTATTTCTAAAATACAACTGTTTATCACTGCTATATGTAATTTATTCAACGTTTCAATGCAAACTGAGTTATTGTTTATAAAATAGCCTGTGTCTCACAGAGTATGTTTGTCCACTTAGGTGGACTTCCAATATTTTACTTTGAATTGTTTTTAACAACCGATTACTCAATCCTGATGTCGGCATTAAACAACTAGCGGAATTAAACAATATAGTTGAAAAAGCAGTCTGAATTGACAAAACGAAACAATGATTTATTCCATTATTGACGTAACATATCTTTGGCCGCTCGGTAAAAATTATAGGAATGTTTGACCCCATCCAGGAGCTAACCTTGCACCTTCTTCTGATTACTTTTAATTTCGATCTTTACAAAGTCTTTGAATTGTAAAAAAAAATAATGATTATGATGGTGTCAAATTGTACCTGATTCAGTTTATTGAAAATAAAAACCAGAAATGAGATAATCATTCATTCATCAGAATGAACAAAATAAACTTATTAAGTTTCATAAAAAAGTCTGATTTTCTAACAAAAATTCGCAATTAGTTGCCATACCTAATAATGATATACTAGGTTGTCAAATATCTCCCTTCCGCTTTTTTGCTCTTTATTGAAATATATTAGATATTTGACAACCTTATATATATTTGCATATGTTACATATTTTCAAATAAAAATAAATTCTAGTTTAAGCTATGTACTGATTATTACATTGCTGATTATTTTGAATTTACAAATATGACATATAATGACTATAATCTTGAAAAGCCTGAATAAGTTTAATAAAGTCTTAAATGCTTAGTATTACTGAAGAAAGTTGAACCCCAAAACTTTTGAAGTAATTCTGCGTAAATTACAAAACCGTATTTTAAAATCTGAAGGAGAGACTAAGTACTTAATTATTACGCCTTCAAGCTATTATTCGAGTATTTAATAAAATTATAATGCCGATATTCATCACTCTTTTTTAATAATTGCAAATAATAAATAAAAGTTTAACATAAAAATATTTGATTTGTATCAACAGTCTGGACAACTGTGTGATCTAATGTAAAGGCAGAGTATAACTATATATTATCACAAGATTGAATTTGTATAAAGTCAAAACTTTAATCAAAAACTTCTCGTGTCCCTTTAATATTTCTTCTCAATTCAACGTTGATACTTTTTAAGTAGTTTTTAAAATTTCATTCTGAGAAACATCTACAGTTTATTCGACTGAAAACGAAACTCATAATTTACTATATTATTCGCCCAACCAACTAATCTTTACGATTAGTTATTTGGGTTTTATATGAAAAAATGTGCACTTCTAATAAATCTAATAAGCTTTTTATTACGCGGAAATGTGCTGATTAGTTTTTGGCAGAGGCAGGTCTAGCGGTTACGGAGATACGGAGCAAAGAGTGTAAAAATTGGAAATCGAGTTTTTGAGAGCGGAGCATCCGATTTCAATGATCCAAAAAACGTTCAATTCGTAATGACGGGGAGAAGTGATGATTTTGGCAAAGGCAGGTCTAGCCGTTTCAAACATATCGAGCTAAATGTGCAAAAAATGGCAGTTTTTGAGAGGACTAGGAGTCCGATTTAAACGATTCAAAGAACTTTCTGCTTGTTTTAACAAAATAATTGATTTTGGAAAAAAAAATTGTTTATCGAAAATAATTCAGATTTTATTTTTAATTCTGACTAAAGTTCTAATATACTTTAAACAAATAATTTCAACTTTGCAATTCAGTTTATATAATTCTTATAAATTTAGACAATGTTACAATATTTATAATAATCTATTTGAAAACATTCAATATCCCTCGAACATTTCGTTACGGTACGGGAAGTTCCAGCAATTTTACCTAAGGCACGATGCCATTCACATCACTATCTTACTATATTATTCGTCCAACCAACTAATCTTTACGATTAGTTATTTGTGTTTTATATAAAAAAATGTGCACTTCTACTAAAACTAATAAGCTTTTTATTTACGCGTATACGCTCCAAAAGTTTTTACGACCAATTTCACGAAATTGGGTACTTCATGAAACGTTTTATAGTTTTTAAATGCTTTTTTTATTATTTACTTTAAATATTACATGCTCATATGAAGAAACTTGGATCAAACATAAATTTCGCGTCTCATCACAAGTTTTGATTTAACGATAGTGAAGATATAGTTTATTAAATACTTTGTTTAGTAGTTTGAAAAAATAATAATTAAATAAGAGTACATAGATTTCTTTTTTGAATTTTTAAATATGGTCTTGTAATTTGAGTAGAATATATGAAGCCCTTCTTTTACTGCTAAATCTAACACTTCTGCTGTTTCAAGACATTATTAAATTTATTCAAGTTAAAGTGTAGGTTTGAACTTGGAAGTTTAAAGAAATCGTTATGTATTAATGCTTCATTAAAAATTATTACATAACTTCAATCAAATTTTATTGCACTTATAAATATGTATACACTAACCATAAATAAAAGAGTGATAAATATATAAATTGGTTAACAGTTCTTTTGAAAATTTCTATATATTGTTCAATATATTTCTATTCATATATAATTCTTTTTTCTTTTTTTTAGATTTATGTTTAGGCATACCATGGTTTCGAAACGTCTGCATTTACCAAATAAAGTGTGTGTTAAAAAAATCTGAGTGTTGTATCGTTCATATTACACATTTAATATATATATATATATATATATATATATATATATATATATAAACGTTTATTAATTAAATTTTTACAACATAAAAACAATTCAAAAATCCGAGACAATTTAAAACTATGATTGCGGAGCATATTTATACTTTAAAACACAATATGGACTTTTCTAACCCGACTGTATTACAGTTCGAACAAAATTTATTTAAACAAAGAATTATAGAAGGATCTTTTGTAACTATTTATAACAATAAAACAATAAATAAACGGAATGAACTTAACACGCTGTGCAATACAAATCTCTTATTTAGATAGTATTTCCAAATTTCTCACAATATATATATATATATATATATATATATATGTATATATATATATAACTATATAAATATATAAATATATAAATATATATATATATATATATATATATATATATATATATATAATTATCGTAAAAAAAAATAAATTTTCAAAATATGGAAAAAAAATATTTTTGACTTCTTTATGGTTGCTTAAGGCAAAGTTGATAAATCATTCTAAACTACTATTATTATTATTTTACCTTGATTTTTCCTTCAACTTCATGTAACAACAGTGTATTAAAATATAAGTCTATTATTATTATTATTAAATACTATTCCATCGCAATTTTAAATTTAATTTTCACAGTCACATTTCGTCAAATTTAATTTAATTAAAAAACGTCGGAAATTTCTTTGGCAAAAGAACCTCCGCCGCCTAAATCTGATGCGATACTATTCTAGAGAGGTGAGAGAGAGCAGGCCTCATCCGCCCGGAGCTTTGCGCAGAATCCGGAATTAAAATATCTTCA